TGAATAGTTTTCATCTTGTCTAGGTGGGTCTGGTGGAAAGAGATGGGGATAAGATTTTTATGATTCAATAGTGAGTAATTGTTATCATGACTAATTGCTACTGTCACAATTGTAAAGGTAGAAGTTTTGTAACAAAAACGGGATAGTAGTTAATCTTGCTGTCCAGAAACAGAGGATCTTAGGACCATCAAGGGGGAAGAGCACAAGCAGAATACAGGAATCTATTCAGAGAAGCAGCGATACCAGAGATGGAGGCAGAGATGGGGACATGTAGAGAAGGAACAGCTGAGAATCCTAGATTCATGGAAAGAGAGGGACTGAGAGCTAGCGGCCATGAGCCAGGCTTTCAGAATGTGCCCTTTAGTGGTTTAAATTATTATATATGCCTTATTGGTTTGTTTGTATTGTTGTTTTTTAAAAAGCTAAAATGAATAGAGAGAAATACTGTTAACTGATGGTACCTGGAGCAGATTATAATCAGTGTAATAAAACAAAGCATAAGATTTGTTGAATTTAAAACTGATGGTATGTCCTGTAAACTTTCACTCAATTCATAATAAAAACTTTTTTTAAGTAAAATAAAATAAGACAAAGCTAAAACATTGAAACAAAAAAATATATTTTATTGATTAAAACACATATATGCTTTTAGTTAAAATGTATCTTTTTTATGCCATAGGAATTATTTTAATAAAAATACCTAACATTGGGGGGGAGAAAGAACAGCTGCAACAGTACATTGTTAGGGAACTGCCAGAGGTTCAAGCCGTGTTCAAATGAGGACGTGGGATGAGGGATCTCATTGCTGACATCAGATGGATACTGGCTGATAACAGAGAACACCAGGCATATGTTCACCTGTTCTTTTTCTGACTATGCAAAAGCTTTCAACTGTGTGGATCATGACAAACTATGGATCTCATTGTGAAAAATGAGAGGTACTCATTCAAACAGAATAAGGGGACACTGAATGGTTTACAATCAAGAAAGGCATGCACCAGGAAAGTACCTTCACCATACTTATTCAATAGGTATGCCGAGCAAATAATATGAGAAACTCGATTATATGAAGTAAATTATGGCATTAGGACTGGAGGAAGACTAACAACCTGTGATATGCAGATGATACAATCTTGTTGAAAGTGAAGAGGATTTAAAATACTGATGAAGATCAAAGCCCTCAGCCTTCAGTATGGATTGCACCTCAGTGTAAAGAAAACAAAAATCGTCACCACTAGACCAATGAATAACATCATAATAAATGGAGAAAAGATTGAAATAGTTTTCCTAAATCCACTATAAACACTTATAGAATCAACAGTCAATGAATCAAATAAAGTATTGTATTAGGCAATGACTGCACAAGACCTCTTTAAAGTGTTCAAGAGCAAAGCTGTCAGTCTGTGGACTAAGGTACTCCTGACTCAAGTCATGGAATTTTCAATAACCTCATAAGCATGTGAAAGTTGAACTGTGAATAAGAAAGACCATAGAGGAATTGATGCATTTGAGTTATGATGTTGGAGAAGAATATTAAAAGTACCATAGACTGCCACAGGAACAAAAGAAGTACAGCCAGAATGCTCCTTAAAGGCCAAGACATACTATCAGGAGGGACCTGTCCTTAGAGAAGGGCATTATGGTAGGTAAATTGGAAGGTCAGTGAAATTGAGGAAAACCACCAATGAAATGGATTGATACAGTAGCAAAAGCAATGGGCTCACATGTAATAACAATTGTGAAGATGGCACAGCACTGAGCATGGCTTTGCTCTGTTGTGCATAAGGTCACTGTGAGTGGAAACTGACTCCAAACTAACAACAACAACAATAACAGGGACAAGGAACATGGAGTTTAAGGAATGTGCCATAATGAGAAAAAGAAAACCCACTTTCTCTGTATACATCAGTGTGAGGGGAAACCAGCAAAGGTGAAGAGGTGTGGTTGAGCCTTAAATAATGGATAGCCATAAAGCATAGCAGTGTAGCCTAGAACAAGTTACTCAACATCTCCATGTTTCAGCATCCTTGTATGCAAAATAAGCATAGTAACATAGAAGTGCTAGGGGAATTCAGTGAGCTCTTTTATGTAAATCTCCTAATTGGTGTCTGGCATGTAAGAAACATATGCAACTTGTAAATTTATTGTGGAAGTCTTTGAATATGAGACTGACCAATTCCAATTTCATTTGGTATTAAAATTGGTAAGCTGTTTGGGAGCTGTTTCTATATCTAAATATAAATATACCAGCCTAAACCTGAGAATTATAATGGCTTCCACAAATTGAAATGACAATTTAAAATTATTCAACTTTCCAAACTTAATTTGAGAATGTCAAGATAGATTCATTGCATGTCTGGAAAAAACAAAAATGTGACTGCTTTTGTTGGCATTACTGCTATCAGTGTTTCACCTCTTGGGCTACTAAGTAGGGCATTGGCAGTGTTGGTACTAACCTTTTGGAATCTTTCTTGATAAACAAGTGACTTTATTTTGTTCACAGATAAAAGCTTGTCAAATGGAGAAAGAAAAACTAGAAAAGCAATTAAAACAGGTATGTGGATTCATACCTAAGTTCAAACTTAGTCCTCTTGTTATGATTGAAATGTCAACGTTAACTTCCACCCACACATCATTCCTCTATGCAGCAGTTCCTCATAGTCTAAATTAGAGGCATATTCAAACTCTGCTACAGATGGCCTAAAAAACCCATGATTTTCATTATCACCTAAAACATCAGTGAATAGATAATGCTTAGGAACCACCATGGCCTCTCAACCTCAACAGTCATGAAAAACACATGCTTTGCAGAACATGCTACCAGTAGTACAAATCTCAGTGTGTGCTCAATGAAGATTTCTTTGTAACTAGATAAAATAAATAAATAAATAAAGCACCCACTGCTATTGGGTCGATTCCCACTCATAGTGATCCTGTATAGGATTTCTGAGACTATGAATCTTTATGGGATCAGACAGGTTCATCTTCCTTTCAAGGAATGGCTGGTGGTTTTGACTGCATTTATTGTAGTAGTTTACACAATTTGTAATGGCAACTCTCATTCAATACTTTACCTCTTTCAAGAAATAAAGTATCTTCTTAAGCATTGAGGTATTCTGTCCCATCGGTTCTTTAGGAGTCTAAAAAATATTATTTCTGTTCATTTCTAATTTCTTCCCTGAAAATAATTTAGTCTCAGACTGAGAAAACTTATTTTATGTCTAATGGATGGGTCTTCATAAATGAAAACCTTCTGTGAAGACAACTAAGAAACATTAAGTTAACTTCATATAATTTTCAATTGTTTTTAATTTCTTCAAAATGGAAGAATGCATAATGTTGTCTACAAAGCACCTTTTGTAAAATGTGTCCAGTAATTCTCATCTGAATCCATGCAGTTTATGTTGACATGTATGTTAGTAAGGGTTCCCTAAAGCAACAGAATCATTGAGACATGTATTAAAAAGAGAGTGAGGGAGAGAAATGTGCTTTAAGGGGTTAGGTCACCCATTTGTGAGGGATGACAAGTCCAAAATCCATAGGTCAGGCAGCAGGCTGGTGACTTCTGCAGGCTTGTGTCCCAAGACCCACTGGTCAGGCAATGAAAAGAGTGCAGAGTAGAGAGAGAAAGTAAATTATGCCAAAATATCTACTTACAGACTGAAGGCAGACCACATCTTTAGGGAAGTCCCTTTTCAACAGATTGATTGTTGTGTTGGTGCCATTGAGTCCATTTCAACTCATTGTTGTTGTTGTTGTTATCTGCCATGGAGTCAGTTCCGACTCATAGCGACCCTGTACAGGGTTTCCAAGGCTGTAAATCTTTATGGGAGCAGATAGACTCATCTTTCTGCCGCGGAACAGCTGGTAGTTTCGAACAGCTGACCTTGCAGTTCGCAGCCCAATTCATAACCACTACACTACCAGAGCTCCTTATTTCAACTCATAGAGACCTCATATTACAGAGTAGAATGACTTCACTGAGTTTTCTTCACTGTAATAATTATAGAAACAGATCTTTCTCCCAGGATACCACTGGGTAGGTTCAAACCATCAACCTTTTAGTTAGTAGCTTAACTATTTGCTCCACCAGGGCTCCTAAGGACTTATTGCGTATTATATTATAGGAGGTTGTCACATTATCATGCATTAGATTACATCACGGAAGAGCAACTAGTCTAATGATTAGTCAAACCACTAGGAATCATACATAGTCTAGCCTCATTGACACATGAAGTTAACCGTCACAACATGCTTACTAATTTGAATTAGAATTATGCCATGATGTTTAAACCTTGAGACATAAATAGAACCCCTTGTTATATAGTACAAGTGTCACTGTGACTCCCCAATTCCATCTACGTCCAGTGAACTGACTGCATTGTTCTTCTCAGAAGTGTTTTCCAACCTGTAACTGTGGCTTGGTTTTCCATCTCCGGGATCCATGGGTTCCAGCTGGCTCAGGGGCTGTACAGGATCTACAGAAGCACTCGGTATGTAAGGATTTCTATTTCAACAAAGAAGTTCTTTATACTCTCTTTTGGTAAAATTGCCTGCCTCTAGAATTTTGGCATAGAATATTATCTTCAGAAAGAGCCCCAATTTTATTACAGCCTCTAATTTGTAGCGTTACGGTGGTCAATATACACTGTAATTATCGATGGAACACTGTGCCCACAGGACATGCAAATATGAGCAAATAAATGAAAGACATCATATTGTACTATAATTCCTCAAGTGAATATATAATACTATCTGTGTCCTTGATAACATTCACCTGACTACCTAAACAAAACATTTTTTATGCATAAAAAAGCAAAGTGCCCACAGCACAACAGTCTGGGAGGTACTGTAAATGTTATAAACTTACATTGAACTGCCATGAGTGTCACTACATCTGTGTCAAATTATTTTTGACAATTTTCCACTAAGAGGATTTTTTTAAGGAACCAAGAAAAAGTGACCCCTTAAGTTCTTGCTTCTCCATGGCTACGTATGTCTATTCTGGCAAAATGAAGTGGACAATTGAGTAATTATTGTTGTCATTATTGTTAGGTGTCATCAAATGAGTTCAGACTCATAGCAACCCTGTACAGGGTTTCCTTCGAGCAGCTGGTGGATATGAACCACCGACCCTGTCATTAGCAGTCCAGTGCTTATCCATAATTGGACTCTAAGTAATTATTAGGGAATGTAATTGATTTGAACCTGGATGGATCAGAATCAAGAGCATCTTTCCTTTCCTTCTCAGTAGCAGTGCCCCACCTATCTTCTTTCCATGATCTTCATTCTAGTTTCTACTCTATTTTATGTACATAAAACCTTTCCTCATGGAGAAAACGATGCATTTTTCTGTGTTTTGGATTTTCTTAGACAACTGCTTACACTGCTTAACTTTTATTAATTCTGTTTCTGATTATGCAAAGAATCTCTGAGATGAGATTTTAACTCTCTTTAATTTTTCTAGCAGAACACTCATGGAAATCTAAAACCTCTCATGTATTTGTATTTGAGTATGACTTAAAGCCCTTTTCCCAAGGGAGGAGATAATGACTCTTTGGGTGGTGGGAGGATATGAGAGTTTAATAAGCATCTCTTAGTTGACCTGGACATGACACAGAATATTGCCAAAAATTTGGTTCTTTATGTGTGGTTGCCTAGTAGCTGCTTCTGTCTGTTCTCTCTCCCCCATTTCCAGTTTTTAATTTTTCTTTTATTGTGGGAAAATATTTATAATAATAAATTTGCCATTTAAGTGTACAATTCAGTAACATTAATTGCAATCACCATGTTGAGCAACCATCACCACTATCCATGCCCATTTATTTACATGCCCTCAAACAGAAACTCAATGCTCCTTAAGCAATAACCACCAATTCTCCCATCTCTAGTAATCAGTGACAAAGCATAATTGTTACTACGCTTTTGCCTAGTCTAGCTTTTCATATAAGTGAAATCATACAATATTTGTTCTTGTGCATCTACTTTATTTCATTCAACACATTTTCAAGACCCATCCCATAGCATGTATCAGAACTTCATCTCTCTGTTTGGCTGGCTGACTAAATACTGTATTCCATCATATAGATATTCTGCATTTTGTTTATCCATCCATTGGGATCTGGTGTGGTGCTGTAGGATAAGTACTGGACTGCCAACCACAAGCTCAGTTGTTCATACCTACCAGTCACTCCTTGGAAGCCCCATACAGGGTTGCTATGAATTGGAACTTACTTGATGGCATTTAACAACAGCATTCATGTGTTGATGGATATTTGAGTTGTTTCCACTTACTTGCTATTGTTGCAATGAACAGTATTTTCCACTTTTTTTCTGGAAATTTTTCTCTGCTTATTTTTCCCATCTTCACCAGAAACATTTCTAGGAATCTCCAAACACAGCTTCAATTCTTTTAACATCTTTTCAAGGATGTAGAAGCAAAATAAGATTGAGACAACCAGAAAGACATTTACTGAGGGGTTTGAGGAATTAGATAAATATTCTTGTGAAAGGTGAACTATGAAACCAAAGCCATTCACATTTATCTAGGAGTAAAAATCACTGTTTTCTCAAACCTTTACTCATGGAAGGTCATAAGAAATTCACCCAATAAAAGTTTACTAAACTTTTCTTATCAATTGTAGAATGCAAGGCAGTCCAGATAAAGTAAAATTATATTTGACAAAGGGCTCCACATCATGTATAATGGCCTCTTTTTTTTTTTTTTTTTTAAGTATTCAGTTAAACAATATCTTAGTCTAACAGTACGGTCTATCAAAAAAAAAAAGTTAATTTTATATGAATTTTCTTGTTTATGCTTATATCAGAGTCTTAATTAAATCACACACAATAGAGTTTGTAAAATTTCAGTGTATTTACCTTCTTTTGGCAACTTTCCTGGAATATGAAACTGAGGCTCACGTCACTTATCTTCTGTGTTATTTGAATCATCTAAAAATAAACGAGAAGATAAAAAACAGAGGTGATCTCATTTCCTCTTCTAGCTTTTTCACAGACCAAAAAGAGCCAAGAGTCTAGGTGTTTGAGTGGGGGTAAAGTGGGGTCAGACTCTACTGAAGGCAGTATTTCTCAGTGGCCCATCAAGTAACTGGACTTTTAGACTACTTTTAGTGGTCTGGCAGGCCTCTAAACGTTCCCTATTGTCTTTATTGTAAAATAAATTTTCCTGACTTATTTTCAGGAGGTAAATGAATAATAGTACAGAAGGCCTGTATTCTCTGTGGGGAAGTAGGAAACTGAGGTGAGCTTTTGGAGTTAGAAAACAGACCAACTTTGTAGGCAGATAAAGGTGAGATTGTTCCAAGTGGTGAAGAAAAAAGAGACAGGTCTCAGACTGTATCTTGACAATTCAGGCCTTAAACTTACTATTTATTCAATGTAATGTGTTTAATATGTTCCCTGGTATTCATTATCTAATTGTTCTTAATTGTAAATGTAGGAGAAAATCCTAAGAGAAAAATCTTTAAATTCTCCATTTTCCTCACTCCACTTCTCTAGTCCACACTATATGAATGAATTAGAGATTAGAGGTTCTGCAAAGGAACAGTATAAAGAGAAGGATTTGCCCTGCTTCACCATCCTGAACCTCTCTACACCATAGCCCTATATAATGGTCTAGATTTCTTTCTAGAGCCACTTAGATTTGTATTTTCTGCCCTCTCCTCTCCAAGTCTTCTCACTGCATTTAGTGGAAGCGTTTTAAAGAGTATTGTTGGTGATAAATGGTTTTGTTTTGTTTATAGGGTATAGTAAATTTTACCAAAGTGTTTATACTTCTGCAGATCTCCAAAACACATCTGTTTTTTAAAAAAGAAAACCTGCCACAGTGCCAAACTGGTAGAAATTCTGTCCAAAAATCATGTGGGTTTAGGAGGGGGTAGGGGAAGATTGTAGTTATGATGAAGAGGAGTAAGAAGGACGAGAAGATTGACAACAGGTTTAGATGGAAATTACTTTTGTGTTGCCTGCATAATAAAAGCCACATCATATAATTATATTTGTAACATGCCACTATGTTTCCTTTGAAGTCCATATTGCTATAATAATGTTTTATTGTTCCACACAGCCAGACTATCAGTGGTATGCTCCTGACCAGTTTCCGCCAGATGTGCAGCACAAGGCAAATGGTATGACCACAGCTGTCTTGAGCATTCTTTCATGTTTACATTTTAATGGGATCTTTTGGGGATGTTTACTCAATGCACATTCATTCGTACTTGGGAAGGACTTACTATAAAGTTGTGGTACATACATAATTTGATGCACCTGGGGTTAAATTGAACTCCTTCAGAAAAAGAAAATGTTGGAATAGAGAAATGCATGAATCTCAGTTTTGGCTTCTATTCCTATTCTAGTCTTAGAGTCAGTATTCCATCTGGGGTTGGAAATGAAAACTTTTAGCAGAACTGTATTATAGCAACAACAACAAATCTCCGTGATTCCACTACAAAGGACAGATGAACATCTACTATTCCAGGTTGAGTTTGCTAGACAGATGTTTGAAGTACCACTGGCAGACACACAGAGGAAACCAGAGGCTCAGAACTGTGGTCCCTAATGAATAAATGTTAGACTCCAAGGCAGACTTATAGCATAGGCCAGCCTTGCCCTCACCACCCACCTTGAAGTATGATGAGAAAAACTAAAACTCACCTCTAAAGAAGTAGTCTTTTATCTTATTTTTCTCTGGTGTACCATTCTTTTCTGTCTTTCCAGAATCTGTTATATTCTCTGCTGCTTCTTTCTATGGCCATATGAGGCCACCCAGGAGTGAATTCTATAAACGGAACTATAATCATAATCTCACTACTATTCTCATCACATATATTGAAGAGCCAACACTGTCTGCTACTTGTTTAAAATCCCATATGACACACATCTGTTAGTTTAACTAGTTAATTTTCAGCCATTTGGATCCACCTGGAAATGCTGAAGATGAGTTATATTCTGATTTCAGGCTATACTTGAAATTTGATCCCATTTAGTTCCGAGTTGAGATCACAGAATTGTAGTTTTTAGTACAAGGAATTCATTATGGAGTGAAAGTAGGAAGCCAGGATTGCCATATGTAGTTTTGCAGATTGTGAAGTCCAAGTGGCTCTTCAGAGTGGTTTATGTGAAGGGAGTCTCCTGGTGTTGTACAGTGCCCCACATTGGACAGCTGTACACAGCAGCCCAAGAGTGGCAAAGGCCACTGCTTACAGTAGCATCAATGAGAAGAAAAATAAAAAGTGAGAAATCTATAATAAAACATCCAGGTATTTATTAGAAATCTATAGATGTCCTCTTTTATTTTCTTTCTACTACAAATATAACCACTGGTTTTAATGAATATCTCGGGTTCCAGCTATAATAGGAACCTTTTATTAGAAAGGCATAGTATTAACCATAATGCTTGTTACATAATGTCTGTGTTGTTTTAAAACCATTGTTGTATAATAGCTGAGTTACCACCCAATTATAATTTTCCATTTTCCATTGGTCTGGAATGAATATTAAAGATATTTTCTCTCTTAGTTTGAATTTAATCACTAGAAAATATAATTACTCGGTAGAAAATTCACTATAATCAAAAGACCATTTATGTATCACAGTTGGGTTTTATTTGGACCAATGTTACAGAAGCTAATAATTATATAAAAGAGAAATGAGTTGTGATGACCTTCAGAAACAAAATAAAATGTATGAAAATGATTTTTTTTGTCAATATATGACACCTGCTTATTTGTACAACCTGAAAACAGATGAGACTTGTGATACATAAACATACTCTGTGACAGTATCCACAGAAGTAAATTTCAATAAACTATAAGTTTACAGTATACTAAAGGTGCGGGTGGGGGTGGGGGGTGGCAACATGGCTCCATCCTGTAAGTCCTAGACTCTGAACCACAGGGCCTGTAGTTTGAGCAAAGATTTGGAAACCCTATACACAGTGTTTCTGTAAGCCAGAACCAACTCGATGGCACTTAACAACTACCATTGCTAAAGGTGTGGCTAAACACTAGAAACACTAGACTGCTAACTGCAATGTTGGTAGTTCAGACTCACCAGTCACTCCTTGGAAACCATATGCAAAGTTACTATGAGTCAGAACCAATTCAGTGGCACCTAATGACAACAATTATGCCAAACGAATCCTGGTGTGGCACTGTAGAATAAGTACTGAACTGCTAACTGCAAGGCTAGCAGTTCAAACCCACCAACCACTACTTGTAAACCCTATACACTGTGACTACAAGTCAGAACCAACTCAGTGGCACATAATAACCATAACACTACGCTAAAAATTAAAGTATTTAAAAATATTAATTTTAACCTTTATTAACAATGCTATAAAGTAAGTTTGATTATTGTATCATTTTACCAATGAGAAAATTGAGACTTGGAGAATTTAAGTAACATGTCTAAATCACAATTAGCAAGATTTAGCACTGGGACTAAATTAGACACATAATTAAATCTAAACCTATAGATTTGGTCATATACTACAGTGTCTTTAACAATCTACTCCTATCACTATAGTAAAATGTTCTAAAATTATAGATATAAAAATTAAAAGTGGGTCTGTAAAAACATGGCACCACCTACAACACTCTCTACTTCTCTGTTGCATTCTATGTTGTTATTGTTGTTATGTGCCGTGGAGTCTGTTCTGACTCATAGCGACCCTGTACAGGGTTTCCAAGGCTGTAAACCTTTACAGGAGCAGAAAAACCTCATCTTTCTCCCACCGAACAGCTGGTAGTTTCATACTGCTGACCTTGCGGTTCGCAGCCCGATTCGTAACCACTACAGCCACACAGAACTCAGACATCATACTCACAGTTAGGGTGCTTATTAGGAAAGTTAACAGGTTACATTTCAGGGTCAAAAATGTTCAGAGCATAGTTCTTCCAATCAGAACAGAGATCAACCATGTCCACAGGCAAGCCTCTCTCTGCCTGGGCAGTGTTACAAAGATAAGTTAGGGCTGCTAAATGCCTTCAGGACACACAACTCCACCATAAGCCTCAGCCTACAGGCACTTGGCTCTGGTTCCCTGGATCAGCAAACCTAGCTTCCCCAATTAAGTACCTGGAGACACTTCATTCTGCAAAGAAGTCTCCTGCCCAAAGTCACTCATCTTTACTTGTTCCATGTTCTGACTCTTGGTTCTGCTGCTTAAGCAACCCTGCCACTTCTCTGGTGTGTCGCATCTTTCTGTCCCTGGGTCAAAGAGGTTAAATGCAGAAGGATCCCAGGGTCCTACAGATATACTTCATTCTTGGCTCTTCCACTTTGATGGTAGTGAGATCCCCCTCCTACTTCTGAGATGACTTATTTTAAATCCACGTTAGAGTTCCAAGACTTTCCAATGGCAATGAACTCTTTTAACAATCACAACTGAGTCGTATCATCCTATTGGCATCCTTCTCCCACCTTTTCTTATCCAGACACAGCAGAGCAAAAATGGTGTTTGGTGGGAATTACAAAAACTATGGGTAGAAGAGTCATATGAAGTACTTCACTGCACTGTAGGGCCTTTAACTTAAATAATTGTATGATTAACATTGGAGTCCTTGAGTGGTGCTGTGGGCTAATGTGTCAGACTGCAAAGTCTTTTGAACTGCAAGGTCGGTGGTTCAAGCTCACCAGCTATTCCTTGGAAGCCCTATACAGGTCGCTATGGGTCAGAATCGACTCAACAGCACTTAACAACAACAATCTCTCCTTCCAATAAATTCACTAGCATATATTACCTGTGCCATTCATTTGACATTTAGAATAACACAAGTTTAAAAAGAAAATAGAGTGAGTGTGTAATAAATATATTATGAACCTGGTGGAACTTGACTGGATGTACTGTTTCTTAGGGCTGCTGCAACCAAGTATTGGGTGACATAATAACAGAAATGTGTTGATTTCTGGGGACAGGAGTCTGAAATCAGGGTATTTACAGGACTATGCTGTCTCTGAAGCCTCCAGAGGAAGGTTCTTTCTTGTCTCTCCAAACTTCTGGTAACCCCAGGCATTTCCTGGTTTATAGCTTCAGCATATTCTATTTCAGCTTGTCTTTATATGTCATCTTTCTTCCTTGTGTCTCTGTTCCATCCAATTCGATGGCGATTGTTTTTTGACCTTGATAAATGTCATGGTGCTGGTATGGTGCTGTAGGATAAGCACTGGACTGCAAACCCAAGAGCGGCTCCTTGAATCAGAAATGTCTTAATGGCACTAATCAACAACAAAATAGCATGGAAATCCAAAATCAAATTTTTGTTCTTGTTGTTAAGTGCCATCAAGTCGGTTTCGACCCATAGCGACCCTATATAGGGTTTCCGAGGAGTGACTGGTGAGTTTGAACTACCGACCTTGAGGTTCAAATCAATCTTGCAGTCCAGTGCATTCGCCTGCAGCACCACACCAGGAATCAAATTGTTGTTGTTGTGAAGTGCTATTGAGTCGGTTCCAACTCATAGCGACCACATACAGGGTTTCCAGGAGTGATTGGTGAGTTTGAACTACTGATCTTGCAGTGCAAACCAACCTTGCAGTCCAGCACATTAACCTGCAATAGTACACCAGCACTCCAATTAGCAAAACTCAACTTCCTCCCAGTTCTGAAGCAGAATACAGAAGCACAGGGACAATAAAACCCTAGCCCATTATCTGTGACCCACTTTCTCTTCTTTTCGTTCCACTTTCCCACTTCCATGGATCTTGAAGGTGGACCTTAAATGTGCTCTTGCAGACAGCTCAGTTTGTACATCCACACATTCCTCACCCTCTGCAAATAGTGGTCATTGGTAAGCATTTAGGCCTAGGGGAGAAGCCCACATAGCCCTGGAAGAGGCCCAAGGTCATTAGAGTAGGAAACTTTGGGGTTTGCGAGTGGGTGACAAGGGGGGAGGATTTGATTGGAGGAGGACCAAAGAAGTGCACTTGAAATCCTGGGGCCTAGTGAGGGGCTTCCTGGTCAGGGTCTACAGGTGGTACTGAGTACCACATCAAACAGTCTGCAGGTCAGCTAATTTCCAATTTTGCTCTCTGTTACTATTTGTGGTTATTTTAGAACATTTTTGGCAGGCATTAGAAATCAACTGTTCTTGTACAAATTAAAGATCTAAATGAACGTTTTCAAGGCATTTGACACTTAGTTGGCTTTCTCTCCACATAGCATTAAGTAATGGCATTTTTTAATACATTGAAATCCACAGATGTTAATGGGTTATAGTTTCGGTTTTAAAACATGTA